AGTAAAGTCGCAGCATTGCTAAAGTAAAGAAGCAACATTGCGAGAGTAAAGTCGTACAATTACGAGAATTAAGTCATCATACAACAACCAGTTTCAGAAAGAAACCTTTGACTTGAAACCAGCATATGACGGCCGACCTGCAGCACAGAACAGCAACCTGAGTCCACTTTGATATGCTGCCCAATTTGATGCTTATGTGCTAAAAGATTTAATTACTTGTCAAACCGATGCCAAAGTATAACTTCATATGATGCTCAACATTCCTCATTTTACGGAAGAAAGTTTTTCTTGTAAGAGTTGTCATAAAATACAACTTTATTCTCGTAATTTTAGGACTTTTTTTCTCTTAATATTACGTCTTTATTCTCTTAATTTTATGACTATTCTCGTAGCGTTACGACTTTATTCTCAAAATTTCATGACTATTCTTAAAGTTTGACAACTTTGTTCTCGTAATTTTATGACTTTACTCTCGTAGTGTTACGATTTTATTCTCAAAATTTCATGACTTTATTCTCATACGGTGACAACTTTATTCTCGTAATTTTATAACTATTCTCGTTGCGACTTTATTCTCGTAATTTTACGACTTTATTCTGATAAAGTTATGAATTTATTCTCAAAATATATTTCCCTTTATGTATACCTGTGTTGTGCACAGGCTGCTAGGCATAGATGAGTGGCAGCATACTGGTTTCCAGTATGATGTGATCAGCTGCCTGAACCTGCTGGATCGCTGCGATGATCCACTGCTTCTCCTGCGGGACATCAGGAGCTCCTTGATTCCCAAGACAGGAAGACTGGTTCTGGCTGCTGTGCTTCCTTTCCAGCCTTACATTGAAGTCGGTCAGTAGAAAATAAAATTTTCTCCACTTTGCAACTGTATTAACAGTTTTGATTTCATCTCCAGTCTTTCTTTCTCTCAGGAGGGAAGTGGGAGCGTCCAAAAGAGCACCTTAAGATCGCAGGAAAGACGTGGGAGGAGCAAGTGACAAACCTTTGCAGCGAGGTTTTCCAGCGGGTCGGGTTCGAGCTGGAGGCCGTTACCCGACTGCCGTACCTCTGCGAAGGCGATATGTATAACGACTATTATGTGCTGGACGATGCCGTTTTTGTTCTCAAGGCATCAGAGGAAGATTCTCCTCAGGGAAAATGAAACGCTGTGAAGGAATGAACCTAAAAATTTTTTATTTCTCATGGATTTTAGCGCATTGCGTCGTTCTTACAGCCTCTGGCGTCTGACTGGTGGAGATGGGGAGTCGGAAGTGAAGCTCAAGTGCTGCAGTTCAGATCTTCAGGATCCTGATACCTCATCTATTTAAGCAATAAAGAATAAAAATGGATGGCCGTCATGACTACTGAAGATTTTCTCCTCTAACATATCATTGTGCTGTTAGTCTACATCTGTAAAGTCGGGTACCAGTGTTTCCTTGTAATATTTAAATGTTTACATCATTAAAAAATGGTGGTGGGAATTCAGTTGGAGACATGTCTAATTAAACTTTTGTACAGGGTGGGTGTTTGTTGTGGAATTATTTACATTTGCTGACTATGGACAGTGAAAGTTCAGCAGAAATAAATGAGAACCTGCCGTAATATAATGCCAATTAAGGTGTCCTTTAAAGCGCTTTGGATTTATTCTTTAACCGATAAAAAGTTCGCTTTTCTCTGTATATGTTGGTTTCAGGCGCAGTGAGATCTATAGCTGTGATTGTCTCCACTTCCTTGGATATTCTGAGACACTTTTTTATCAGTTCAGAAACTTTTGTTCTTGCTGTTTTGGGTGCATACCTCTGTATTTTTCTAGTGATTATTTAGATTAGACACTGTTCTTTTTAGATGGTCAGAATGTGCTTATTGATAACTGGAAAACGCTGCTTATAGACATAAAAGGCAATCTGTTTTGGAAAGACTGCAAAAAGCTTCAGACACAGAACCTCCTATCCTCTCTGTTACTCTGGCCGTCATTGTATGGGTAGGAAACACAGATAAGGAAATACTTTTAGGTCCTTCCACTAACATGCTTGGCCTAATAAGGTATTTCATCCAGCTGAATGGATTTTGGAACTTACAGCTAAGAAAAATCATAGATGCTTTCCTGTTAACAGCTTTTGAGATGTTGCCAAACCACTATTTGAAAATGTGCCATGATAGTTGGATTGTTTTATTGAATTAAAATAATAAAAACAATGCATTTATTGATTTGTATTTTGTGTTTTTTATTTAAAAAAAATGGAGAAATGGCAAGGAAGTGATCACATAACACTTTTATTTGTTGGGAGCAGTGGTGGTTATAAAGTACAACAGTGGGGAGGAAATATCTGTGATGACGCTCCTTTGTGCGCCAAGGATGTGAGTGCTTCTTCCTGTCAAACTACCTGATGAGCTGTTGATAAGCTGCTGCTCCCATTAATATCCACCATACAAGACGGCTGTGGCCACATTTATAAAAGTTCTTCAACAGCCCCCCTGAAGTCCAAAATAACTCAGTCCCCTCGGCAGAGAGACTAATTTTTAAGGCTCATTTGCAAAAGGTGTGGTATTTACTTCTCTGTGATCTATGGGTAGACTTATATACAGAAGAGAAATAGGGCCAATGAAAAAAAATAAAAGAATTAACTGATTTTTTTATTTCAGTATAATATGAGAAAAAAGTCACACTTTCGACTTTAATCTCAGAATTCTGACTTTAATCTCAGAATTCTGACTCTGAATGTAGATGGGCACCATTAAGGAAGAGATTCACTGACAAAGATGTGAGTTGTTTGGGAGGGCCAGTGACACATTGGTGGAAAATTACGTAATTAGGCGACTTTTTACGTGCCTGAGGGGTCCCAGGTGATGCTATTTCATTAATGGAAGAGCAGAAGGTGACAGACATGGCTATGACTTGATGCTAACATGTTTGTTAGCTGTCAGATTAAAATCAGAATTCTGAGATTAAAGTCAGAATTCTGAGAAAAAAAAGTCTGAATTCTAAGATTAAGGTCACAATTCTTAAATTAAGGTCATCATTCTGAGAAAAAAAACCTGAATTCCGAGACTAAAGTCAGAATTCTGAAAAAAGTTAGAATTCAGGGATTAAAGTATACTATAGACTATATACTCATATGCTATAGACTATAAAGGGGTTGGGGTTGCGATGATAGCGGGAAGGGATCAACTTAATCGCTGCATTGTAGGTTTTTTAAAGGTGAAATCTGAGTCCACCCCTTCTGTTAAAGGTTGTTTTTTCTTTCTTAACATAGATGGCTTCCCTTATGCCCCTCTCAAAACACCTTTCTCTTTCCAAAATGTGAACATTTTGGTCCTCAAAAGAATGTCCTTTGTCCATAAGATGTAGATGTATCCCAGAGCCTTGTCCCAATGCGGTCGCTCTTCTGTGTTGGGCCATGCGTCTGTGAAGAAGTTGTTTGGTTTCTTCAATATAAAGATCAGAGCATTCCTCACTGCATTGAACTGCATACACCAATCCGCTCATTGCAGGTCTCAGGCTTTTGTCCTCAGGATCCAGTAGTCTCTGTCTGAGGGTCTTGTTTGGTTTGAAGTGTACTGAGATTTTGTGTTTGAAGAAAATCCTTTTGAGTTTTTCACAGACTCCAGCAACATAAGGGATGGTGATGTTTTTGCGTTAAATCTTCTCACCGTTATGTTCTGCTGCGTGTCTTTTGGATTTCCTTCCTTTCTGTTCTTCTGCTTCCCTTCTGTTTTTGTAGGGACATGTTCTGCCTGGTGTTGTAAGGTTCTGATGACTGAAAGTTGTGTTCCAGTGGGTGGTGTGCGTAAAAAAAAAAAAGATATTGGTCTGTATAATTCAGATTTCCTATACACTTCAATGTAGAGGTTTTCATCTCCTTCCATGCTCACCAAATAGTCCAGAAAGGGTAGCTTTTTGTCATTGGAATCCTCTCTGGTCATAGGTAGATCTAGACAGGGGCCAACGGGGGCCAGTGCCCCTGTTGATCATGTCCTGGCCCCTGTACTGAAGACATAATACTCAAAGAAGTTCTAATGATATGTGCTGGAACAGACATAGTTACTGATAGGTCCTTTGGATCTTTTTCATTTTTTTTTTTTTTTTTTTTTTTTTTTACAAATTCAGTTTTACCAATTATTTAAAAACAATAAGGTGATATATTCAGTGGTATTGAGATAAGATCCCAGTTTTCATCTGGTAAATGTTTTTTCAAAACAAAAAAACACTCTAATTTTTAGAGCTGAATTTATCAGTTTTTCTTGAGTTCTAATTCAGATTTTATAGTAAATGACTGTTTTAACTTAAATTAAGTCAAAAATATGTAAAATTGTGTAAATTATTAATGTATATTGACCCAATAAGAAAAATTATTTTAATTAAACCTAATTTCACAGAAATGTATCTTCACACAGCTCTCTTAATATATTTGAATCCTTTGCCCTGTTTTATTTCATGCTTTTCTGTGCCCCCATGGAAACACACTGGCCCCCTCCTGGCCCCCTGGTACATTTGGTCTAGAACCGCCACTTTCTCTGGTGAATTTGGTGTTGTGACTTAACATGAAAGCTTCCCCTTCTTTTAGCTGGATTTTGACAAATGTGTCATCCACATATCCAAGCCATTGTTTTAGATTTATTGATATTTAACTCCAAACTAAATATTTATTTAAAAAAGTAAGATTTTTATAAACGAATGAATGACATAGTGAAAAAATGACCCCCTTATTTTTCTCTTAAAACACGCTAAATAAGCATAAATATTTCTCCTATTTTTTGACTCCTTAACTTTACAAATTACACCGCAAAGATTTACTTTATTTGACCATCCTTGATCATTTCTACACGTATCCTAATGACACGTCAAGTCCAAGAGAGATGAAGTTAGGAGGTGATTGGAAAACTCAGTTAGTTCCCTTTAAACCGGAAGACAGGGTCCTTCTGACCTAAATTATGTAAATTAGACCGGGCGCTCAATTTGATTGGCTGACAGCCCTCCGTTTCTCGCTTTTCATTGGCTGCTTGTGTGTCGGCCACGTCTCCTAGCCACGTCGCTCTCCACTCGCCTTTTTCCCCTCTTTACCCGAGCCAAAACCCCTATTTTTTTACTAGCGTCACGTTTGCTCACACCTTAAACAGGTGGAAGAAGGGGGGTACTGTTTCCGGACAGTAACGGAGTTAATCTAAGAGCTTTCAGATAGGTCGGCTACTGAGGGGGCTTCCTCCAACATGAACATCTTCAGGCTAACCGGCGACCTGTCCCACTTAGCAGCCATCATCATTCTGTTGCTAAAAATATGGAAAACCAGGTCTTGTGCCGGTGAGTACATTTATTTTAATTTGATTTAGACAGCTTAAACATTTCATTAATTTCTATCGTTAAAATAATTGTAGTTTTCAGTCTCCTAGTTAAAGCTTACTTATAGCTCCCAGCTAACGTTAGCTTACTTGCTAATAGTGTTGCAAAGCTCCAGTTTCTGTTTGTAAATCTGTCCTTCCATGCCGACACTTCTACAGTGAAGAGCATTAGAGCACAGGAATGGACGCCTAGAGCAGAATGGGTTGTTATGGTTTGACAGCTGAAGGTGCTTCCTCTAGTGTGTTAGTTTGACACCTAAGGCCCCTTTTTTTAAACTTCACTTATTCACTAACAATGAATGAGCCTCCACGTTCCTCTACAAAGCTCTGTTTGCTCTGTGACGTGGCAGCGGGCCTTCACAGTCAATGCTTGGGTCCACGGTTTGGATGCTGCTGCAGAGGCAATTTGCTGTGTTTCCATATTTTTTTGTTGTTGTTTTGATCAAAGGTTACAGATTGTTTCCCTGCATCTCTGTGTTTTCACTGCTAGTTGCATATGATTCACAACAATGGCTCTTCATCATTGGAAGTCAGTCTTGTTGAAACTCCAGTGACCCAGAAACAAATGCATCACAGTCAAGGTCTAAAAAGTTAGTATTTACTAAAAAAAAAATTTTTTCCTGATATGTTGTCACCTATCTACATATCAGATAATCGTGCTTGTATGATGAATAGTGCCTTTAATATAAAAGTAACTGAAAAAATGACCACAGATTTAATTTTCTTTCATCATTTTTTATTTCTTTTACGGTGTCTTTAGAGATTGTACGCAGAGAATGACATAAAACAGGGCTTGCAAAATCTGTAGGTCAGAAAACCTCACTGCATACTTTAGGTGTTTCACACCTGCAGCTTTAGGTCCCTCTAAATTTAGATCGACCTAAATTTGGTCCTCTTTGGGTCAGTATGAAACTATTGTGGCCTGAAGAGGTGGTAGCTCCAGCCCAACTCTGGTGCGCACTGGTTAATATCTGAAAACAACCGTACTCTGGTGCGATAATATAATATATTGCATAGATAACCTGTGCCAGATGAAGATTTCACGGTGCTTGTTGAGTAGCATTAATCTGTGCCTTCTCCTGAACTGGGCTGAGGTTTGCATTCCTCGTACCCAGAGCATCAGCATCTTATTTTCAAGCACAATCTTTTGCCAATAGTTGTACGTGCAAACCATATAGAAAAATAAAGTTGAGAGCTACTAATAACCGGTGTACCTCAGTCTCCGTAATGGAAGTTTGTTCCATTTATCTCTTGTTACTCTTTCAGTAGCAGTGTTTCTGGATTTCAGCCGGTCGTCATGGAGACATGACACGCTCCATGTACTGCAGTGTTTGGTCCAGAGCGACACTAAATTTGTGTGAAAGCAACTGTAGTAGCTGGAAAAATGAAAAGATTTATTATTTTAACATTTGGAGCCGCACTACTGCGTGCACTAAACATTTGTGAAAACACCCTTAAATTGCCTGCTCTGTTTAATCCTTCATCTGAATGTGGAAAGGATATAGTACTTCTGCAAACCTACCAAAGCATGACTGCTCACCATGGGGACTTTCGATGAGCTCAGATGAGATCATCTTTGAATCTATTGATCTAGTGCGTCTCTGGTTGGTCACTTTTGGAGGAACAGATTCAAGCCAAACCATTTAATGACTGTAGCAGCAAAACGATCAGCCCCAATGGGAAACATGGGGTTGGTAGCACCATGCTGAGGGAATGCTTTTCCTCTGCCTAGACAAGAAAGTTGGTTAGAGTTGTTGGAATAATATGTGGGGCTAAGTGCAGCGTATTTATGACAGAAAAATGGTGAAAGTTCACCTCCCAGCAAGACTCATCCAAATCCAAGATGGCCAAACCTGGATACTATAGAGAATCTGCGGCAAAACTGAACCTCCACTCCTCAAAGATGTTCCCTATCCATTTGAATGGGCAACAAATAGTTTCTGGATCAAATACAACGTTCTTGGTGATTTATCCTTAGAGACTTTCAGCAAATTAGGTTATAAAATTATTCTAATTATAGCTTGTTAAAGCTAATCATGACAAATAAATGAATTCACTCTTTTTCCACTTTTGAATTATGCAGTGCAAAGGGTTAGAACAACTACATCCCCAATATTAAATGAAAATAAATGAAGACTATTGACATTGGTGCTTCATCAGTGAACATCTTCTAGGTGTTAAAATGATTGAATCAGAAGATCTTTTTCTTTTTGTAAAATTAAATGAAAGAGAAGATGACAGGCTTCCTCTAAATCCCGGAATTCATTAACTATTAAAAGAAAGAAGCTCGCCTAACCTCCAGTTTCTGCCCTCTGCTGTCTGCTTGCAGGTATCTCTGGAAAGAGTCAGGTCCTCTTCGCCTTGGTGTTCACCACTCGCTACCTGGACCTGCTCACATCCTTCATCTCCCTTTACAACACCACCATGAAGGTAAATCCCCGCACCATCAGCAATTCCCTCCAGGCAGGAGCACGTAGTGCTGAGGTGTTTCTCCCTCTCTAACTAACACACCTGTGTTTGCTGAAGGATGATCCGTCTCATCCAACCTGTCGTACTGTTTACGTTAAGCTAGCATCCTCACTGTCGTCCTGCAGATCATCTATATCGGGTGTGCTTACGCCACCGTCTACCTGATCTACATGAAGTTCAAGGCGACCTATGATGGCAACCATGACACCTTCAGAGTGGAGTTCCTGGTGGTCCCTGTGGGAGGGCTGGCTTTCTTGGTCAACCATGACTTCTCTCCTCTGGAGGTCAGAGATTTCTACTAATATACTCAGTATTTCTATTCATAATTTTACTTAAACCCAGAGGTGGGTTTATTTTACACATCTGTTGAACATGCTTTTTAGATTTCAAGTTTTTCTTATTTTTGTTTAATAAATGATTTGTTCAAATATTCTATTCTAGTCTTAAAAATACCAGAATTGCTGATGATCTAACTCAGTACTTTAGTAGCCCTTTTTCCAATAAAACATTTATATTTTTGAGTGTTTTTTCGGTAGGCTACTTTTTACTATTACTTGAATAAAAATATGATTAGATGTCAGGTATTTAATCTAAATGGCAGTGGTGTTTTTTTGTCTCCCTAGATCCTGTGGACATTTTCCATCTACCTGGAGTCTGTGGCCATCCTCCCACAGCTCTTCATGATCAGTAAAACAGGAGAGGCGGAGACCATCACCACCCATTACCTGTTCTTTCTAGGCCTCTACAGGGCCCTCTACCTCATCAACTGGATATGGAGGTTCTACTTTGAAGGATTCTTTGATATGATCGCCATTGTGGCCGGAGTGGTGCAGACTATCCTCTACTGCGATTTCTTCTATTTGTATGTAACAAAAGGTGAGAACTTAACATTTTTACAGAAAAGTTTGAATCTTAATTTATTTTAATTGTTCTGCATTAAATATTTAGGGTTCTTACGTGGTCACATGGACGTGATCTGGGAAGGGGGACATGTCCCCTGCACGTTTTAAGGCCAATTTATGCTTCGCATAGCCTCTGCCACCGTCAAATCTGTCTCTGTGCACGACCATGCCCCCCGCACAGAGGTTCTGCATCCTTCTTCGCGCAGCTCAAAAAAATCCTGACAACACACGGTCGCAAACCCACGCAGATCTCAAGCGGAAATGTGCAGACAAAAAGCAGCTGTGATTGGTCCTTGTTATGCCTATCCGGCTGTCTGTGTGGTCGTCCTTTTGGATCCTATGCCGGGGCCCGCCATTTTTAAAAAACAAAGAACAAATACAATGAACAACTACGCCGAAAGGTTTATCGGCCTTTTTGCCAACTCCATTAACAGAACCTTTTCCTCTTCAATGTCTAGCAACTCTAGATCCATCTCTGTGACCGTGATCTCTTGCAGACGAAGATAAACACTCAAGTTCCGCCCAAGTTCTCGTGACCATCTGCAGAAGTTCTCGCGAGTTCTCGAATAGTTTGCGACTAGACCCAAGCCACATTTGATGTGTGCGGTTGCAGAAGTATAGTCTGCCCTTACTGTCCTAAAATAAAAAACTGTAAAACGTGCAGTAAACGGACATTTGTCGTACAATAGGACCTAGTGGAAAACCGCAGCTCAAGCTGAAGCACACTTCCCTGAGTTTAGACCGCCCACAAGCTTCTGATTGGCCTTCTGTCCTCTCTTGTGTGATTGACTGTCACTCCTGAGAAGCTCAATTTACAAACATCTGATGCGCCCAAGAATCGGGTCTATGATTAGACGGTCAAACATCCTGAAGTTAGTTATTTAAAAAAGTGCGCGATCAGATGTACTAATGTAATTTTTTGGCAGATTTCATTGGTTCTGCTTGAGTTTTATAAAACTTTGCTTGTATTTTCTTTCATAGCAGATCAACCAAACCAAAGGCTGTGTTATCGTTCTGATCACTGCTGGCAGCCCTAACCCTTTTGCTCTGTCTGGTTTCAGTACTTAAAGGAAAGAAGCTGAGTCTGCCAGCCTAAGCGCCAAACGGAAGCGTCTCAGCAGATTAGGAGCGAGGAGAGGAGGAAAAGCATGGGACATCTTTGGAGACAAAGATCTAAAAAAAAAATAAAAACGAATAACTACAATGAAACCACGTTCCCTCTCTCCTTCACCTCCTCTTCCTCTCCAGTGTAAGATGCCTGAGACAGAGAGATGCTCTGGAGCTGCTGACGGCCCCTCTCGATTCTGAATTGGTGGACTGCAGATTTCTGTTTGAAGCATCTTGCCTTAACATTTTTTTATTGCTTGGTATAAAAGGGAGAAAAGCAGTTCATGTTTTCTATGTAAGTGTTTAATTGGCAGGTAAGAGGCAAAGATGTAAAATTGCTGAGATTTGGAAATGTCTGTTAATAAAATGGACTTCTTGTACTGGGATAATAAACTTTGTAATATTTACAATGAAAACATGTTTTTCATAAAATAATTTGGAAGATTTGTTGAATCCTTTAAAATGTTAATGTTTTTCCTCCCTCTTTTTAAAGTTTTACATTCCTGATTGTAAAGTTCCTCCTGAAATATAAATGCAATACATCTTAATACTTTGTCCAAAAGAAGAAAAAAAACGAAACAAATCCAAATATGTTTGTTCAGATTTTATCGGAACAGATTTCTGTATTTTAACTCTCCATATTAAAGGCTTATGAAGAGCGAACACAGGAAAGACGTGTAAAAAGAGACCAGTTAACTAATTTCTGTAAATGATTTTTTTTTCACATGCTACTTTCATTAAGCACACCATGTCACGTGTGATTAAACTATATTGCCAAGCTTGTTTATTTCAGAAAGTTTTTTTTTTTTTATGCCAAAAGTCAAGCTTATGTGCTGTATGTGAAGCCTCACTACAGAAAGTTTCCATCTTTTAGATGCTGATGTATTTATTTTTTTTTGTTGCTGATTCCAATAAACAGTCCAGAGAATTTTAAGCATTGTTCATTTTTAAATTGCCTCGAGAAAATATTCACATTCTTGACAGATTTACATTTTATTTTAATCCAAGAGTTTTTGTTTCTGACTGCACATTGTAACCTGGAAAAATAAATTCATTGAAAATGTTTCAGTCTGAGGATGGAAGATAAAAAGGTACAATTTGAACCCATTAGGTTAGGTTAATCATGTGATTCCCAGATTTTAATCATCATAAAATCACTTTTTCTACAGAAAGTTGAACATGTTACTTTTAAGTTTAAAGCAAGTAGTTAAAAGATTTAAGCACCATTTTAGCTAAATAGTTGCTTAAAAAAAGACTGTGTTCACAATCATTCACTTGAGAAGGGTTCATCACATTACATCAGTTTTAGGTTTCAGGATGATCCACTCCTTTGCCACCGGTGCAGAGCTTAATGAACTTTGGAAGCAGATGGGTGCGATTGCATGACATTAAACACTGAAAGAAATATTTTTTTTCCATCCCTACTATGTGATGATCTTAAAATGGTCTAGCATTATGGCAGTATTGAGACCACTAATGCATGTGGAGCCAACAAACTTATCACATTCTCCCAGGTGAGAAAAAGCATTAGTCATGTCTTCCAATGCCAGATATCAGTCATATTAGGCAAGATGATAGAGGTTATTATTTTGAAAAAAAAAAAAAAAAAAACTGTTTTAAATACTGAGCATTTATAGATTTCATATAATTACAAATAAAAAACGTAAACCCTTTAATTTCTCTCTGAGTAGAATTAAAACATTTTCAACAAATATTAACCCCGGAATGATTTATCAAAGCACAAGGCAACACGGACAGATAAAAACGTCGGACAAAGCTGCATTCTAAAAATAACCGAGGGATTTTGTTCAGTATATATGTCTATTTTTTTATTAAATGAAGTATAATTCCAAAAGCAGCATGGAAGATAATATTTCTAAGGAAAGTTTGTGCCACTCTTCGGGTAAGTTACAGCCTGCGTATGCGCAGAAGTTTAGCTAGCAGACGTAGCTTTGCTGCTAGATAATGCTGTAGAATGCTAACTGCTAAAGGTAAAATCTATTTCCGATTTTTTACTGTCTAAATGTGGTCCGAAGCTTTGTGTAATTAGCTTTTTATATTAAGAGAGTCATATAAAAAGCTTTATATTTAGTGTAAAGCGTCCTAATTAAACTTTGACCAGCCTGTTTCAGATTGGGAAATTTCTTAAGCTCTGCTACTGTAAGGTGTAGATGTGAGTATATGTTTATAATTATTTATAAAAAAAATGAAATAAAAAATTTTCATCTTATTTAACAACTAATAGTTACTAGTATTCAGGGCTACCAACATTTCACCAAACCTTGGGGTGAGATTTTAAAATAGTTCGGTCATGAAACCCTCCCAGGGTTAGATGAGTATAGGTGCAGCTACAGGTTGGAGTTTTTTAGAGGATTTAACTGAAACAAAGCAGCAACATGTGGAATTATTATAGCACAGTAAATGTTACTGAGTAAAAATAAGTGTTCTGTAGTTACGTGGAACATTTTTCTCACAATATACATTATTTTCTACATTCTTGTAATGTTTAGAGAATTGAAGTAAAGCAGAAAGGGCCCTACTGAAATACTTGCATCTTAAATATACTTTCAACTACCGGTAACAATTTCACAACTTTGTTCATTATTTATTCTCTGCAGTTCAAGTAAATTAAACAATGGGGAACTAATAAGCTATTACTGGCACTGATTCAGGAACCAGTGCAGTCGAAACCTATGCAAACTACACTGTGTATGAATATTTGGTAATAGGCTGAGGATTAAAAAGCTTCATTCATTATGCTATTAGTTTTTTTTTTTTTTTTGACAAAACAGGTAAACAAGGCTGTAGATTTTATAAAAACTAACCATGACAGGAGACGGCACTTCTCTGGATGTTGCAGTTTGAAAGGTGCGATGGAAATGGACCAAAATAAAGATAAATTAATATGATAAGTAATAATAAAAGAAGAACATCCCTGTGGTTTCTCCTCTATGAATCCAGGATAAACAAATTGTTCTCCACATCCTCTCTGAATGTGGTTGGTCTTTTCTTGGGTGACTGATCTTTTGAAAAATAAAATGCAATGTTATTTTCCTTTTTGTGGACCTCCTATGGGTTTGAGAGGCAAACCTGAAAGCTTTAAGAATTAAAATATTTGTGTTGGTTTAATTACTCCTAAATTCCAATGGGAATTTAGGAAAAACATGGACTATAACTGGGACTTAAAAAAGCACTAGGCAAAGAAAAAACAAACAATTGGATTTTATCCTACAACCAGTCTTCAAATCAATAACTTAAGCTAGCTGCTGTACTTTAAGTCATATTTACTCAAGTACTAGATTGCTTAAAATCTTCAATAATTTTCAAAGAGAATTATCCTAGTCCAGATGAGATTAGATAAAAATGAAAATGACATACCTCTTAACAACTGTCTTTTTCAATATCTGACACAGTTAATAGGATGGAATGCAGACTGGATATGAACCTGGCAAGTCCTCGTGTGTTAGCACTAAGGTTGTATTAAAAACACGGATTGGATTTTGATCACAACGTCTGTCGTTTTTCAGTGTGAGAAATTGGGAATATGGAGTGAGAATGTGTAAAGACACTAAGATGGGTGAGTCTCACCCCCAATGGGTCTTGTGTGAGATTATTCTCCTGTCAATAATCAATAGTTGTTCAAGTTGTTCTAGCCTCTTATTTAACAATAGCATAATTGGGTTGTCCTCGACTCAGTGTCTCAAAGGTGTCAAGGTCCTTCCTGCAGCCGCCAATCCAAAGCATATTATTGCAGAAGTCTTGTTCTTTTAGATGTACTATAACTCTTAGAAAAGCTGTCATTCTTTCTTCTAAAGATAATTTCTCTTGTCAACTATAAGACATAGTTGTCTGGAAGGAGACTATAGTCATTGGAAAAGTCACAAACTGCACTAAACTCTTTGAAGAGCTGGATTCATTAAATAACCACATCACTAGCTCATTTTATTTGTTTGGTATTTTTTGAAAATGCATCCATGTTCTTAATAAAACAGTAAAAAATGATCCTCAGTTTAATTGCAGCATCTGTTCACTTTCAGGTAAACAGATGCTACTTCCCCTCTCCGCTCTTCGTCTCCTGATCCCGCCGCTAAGGCTGGCCTCCGCTGCAGTCTGGCAAACCTTCCAGCAGAAAGTTGTTGCTGACTACGGCATCCTGGAGGAATTTGTGTCGATGGTTACAGAGATCCTTCCTGAGCTACTTACCAGACGGCAGAGAGCCCAGCTCACACTGGGCCTTAGAGCACGGGTAGGCACCTTTTTTTAAGGCATTGCTTAGAAAAGGGCAATAAATAATTGGGCGTTAAAATATAACAGTAATCATCCTGCAGGGGAAAATGTCACAATCACTGTTAATTTCAAAGAGTAAAATAATGTAAGCAATCTGTTGTTATCTTGTTGTTGTTATCAGCTGATCCTAGACTTATGCCAGAGGGAAACTACTCCTGATGCTAAGCTTGTTGAGCCACAGTTGGACAGGATGGAAACGCTCATCAGGTCATGGCTCGAGGAGGTGACTAAAGCTCTTTCACATAATTTCTGTCATTATTTACATGATCTTGTGAGGTAGGTACACGTTTAACATTGATAAAACATCTCAGAGTATAGTTAAAACCTGTAACCAACAGGAACTCACCAGGGGATAGTACAGAACTACAGTGAGTGTGGCATAATTCTAAAACAAGACCACATAACATGTTAGCAGATTGTATTATGCATGCACCTTTTCTTGTACTTTAATCCCAGACTGCATTTTGACAGCCTATTTTAGGATTACAACTAGGGCTGAAATCATTAATCGGATTAATCGATTATTGAAATAATCGTCAACTAATTTAGTAATCGATTAATCCTTAACTAGAGTATAGAGACTCTAAAAAAACCTTTAACTGACTGAGCGAACCACTTATAGCAGCAATTATACCAAGATTGTAAAAATATATAAACATTTTCCATTTAAGATATCAAAAAAATGCCTGTTAATAGGCTCTATCCAGAACTGCACAGGTATTTTAAATTTAAAAAAAAAAGTATTTTTTAATGAATCTTCAGCTATCCGATTATAAATTGATTAATCGAAAAAAATAATCAAGGGATGAATCGATTTGAAAAATAATCGTTTGTTGCAGCCCTAATTACAACACAATGCTGAGA